AACAACCTGAGGACTCCTATTATTTATGCTTCTTGATATGAAGCCAAGGATTCTATTAGCTTTATTGCGAACACTTATGCACTGTTGTCTTGGTTTCAGATTACTGCTAACCAGAACTCCTAAATCTTTTTCGCAATCTGTAATATTAAGATCTGCATTATTTAGTTTATATGTGGCATGGTTATTGTCCTGTCCAACATTTAGAACTTTGCATTTGTCTATATTAAACTGCATCTGCCACTTCTCCGACCACTGCATCAGTCTATTCAAATCTTCCTGGAGTGCTCGAATGTCCTCGTCAGAATGAATTCGACGGCCTATTTTGGTGTCATCGGCAAACTTGCCGATGTCGCTCTTTATGCCCTCATCTATGTCGTTTATGTAGATTGTGAACAGCGGGGGGCCCAACACTGACCCCTGTGGAACACCGCTCGTGCCCCTTCCCCACTCTGATTTCTCCCCATTTATGCAAACTCTCTGCTGCCTATTTTTTCAACCATGCCTCTATCTAGGAAAAAAATTCTCCTCCTATTCCATGTGCTTTAATTTTCCTCAATAGTCTCTGATGTGGGACCCTGTCAAAAGCCTTACTGAAGTCCATATACACAATATCATATTCATTACCATGATCTACCTCCTCAAATACCTTAGTGAAGAAAGTTAATAAATTCGTAGGCAGGAACGCCCCTTTGTAAAACCATGCTGAGATTCGTTGATTAATTTATGCTTTTCAAGGTGGCTACGAACTGCCTCGGCAATTATTGATTCCATAAATTTTCCCACTATGGAGGTCAGGCTTATTGGTCTATAGTTCGAAGCTAAGGACCTGTCACCTGTTTTGAAAATAGGTATCACATTTGCCATTTTCCACTTATCTGGCACCATGCCAGTTTGTAGTGATATGTTGAAAAGATTAGCCAAGGTGTGCTAAGCTCCTCTTTACATTCCTTTAGAACCCCTTTCATACAGTTCATCAGGGCCTGGGGATTTGTTAGGTTTTAATTTATCAATTTGCTTAAGGACCATGTCACTTGTGACCCTAATCGTGCACAGTTTATTATCGTCCTGTTCTACATAATTTAAACATTACTGGAATATCGCTGGTATCCTCCTGTGTAAAAACTGAGAGGAAGTATGTGTTAAAAAATTTTACACATTTCCTTATCACTGTCAGTGAGCTGACCCGAGGAACTTTTGAGTGGGCCTATCTTGTCCCTGATCTTACTTCTGTATACCTGAAAGAATCCTTTTGGGTTAGTCTTCGATTCTCTTGCAACTTTAACCTCATAATCTCTTTTTGCTTTTCTAATTCTATTTTTTATTTCTCTCTTTAACTGAATATATCGATTTCTTAATTGCCCCTCTCCTCTTTTGAATTTGCCTATATATGCCTCTCTTTTGACCAATCAGATATTTTAATCTATTGTTCATCCATTTAGGATCATTTTTGTTTGATCTGATTTCCCTATTTGGAACATAATTTGACTGAGCAGCTAGAACTATGCCCTGGAAAGCATCATATCGGCAACCATCACCACCTACCTGACCCTTAGTCAGGTCATTCCAGTTCAGCCCACCTAAGTAATTTTTCAGTCCTATGAAATCAGCCAAGCGAAAGTCAGGGACGGAGACTTGATTGCCATTATTAGGGGAATTCCATGATATATTAAAACTGAGTGATTTGTGATCACTTTCCCCAAGCTCATCATTAACCTCAAGATTATTAATTAGTGTTTCCCTACTGGCAAGAACCAAGTCAAGGAGGTTATTTCCCCTAGTTGGCTCTGTCACAAACTGTTTTAAAAAACAATCCTGGATCGTATCAAGAAAGTCACCTGACTCTAAATTTCCTGTCAAATTGCTCCAGTCAATCTGTCTATAGTTGAAATCTCCCATTAGCACAACATTTTCGTATGTAGATGCCTTACGAATTCGTCCCATAGAAGTTTTTCTGCACTCCCTATCAAGATTTGGGGCCCTGTAAATCACACCCAAAATTAGTTTTTCTCGGCCCTCGAGAAGCTGTAACCAAACAGATTCAGTGCTGACGCTTCTAATTTAATATCTTGTCTAACACAACAATTTAAATTGTCTCTGACATACATCGCTACTCCACCACCTTTCCTGTTTACCCTGTCAGTGTGGAATAATTTATAGCCTTGTATGTGACATTCAGAGGGCATCTCTCTATCTTTCAGATTGAGCCAGGTCTCTGTTATAGCAATAATATCTATGTTTCCTGCACTTGCAATTAATCTTAGCTCATCTATCTTATTTCTTACACTCCTGCTATTATTATAGTAAACCTTAAGGGAGATAGTCCCTTGCTGCCCTCTGCTGTCCCCCTTTGTTTGCTGACCTGATCTATTGTCTTTATTTATAACTTCATGCTGAATGCCTTTTATACATTTACTGTTTCCAACCCTAGTGTTGCAACCTGCTTGTTTCCCACACACACACCCATACCTCTATCTTCCATCAGTTTAAAATCATAGGCATTTCACCAATGGCCTTCTCAATCGAGTCTGCAAGTGCTACCACCCCTGCCCCCGAGAGATGTACCCCATCCCTTGCATACATATCATGTTTGCCATAAAAGTTGTTCCAGTTGTCAATGAATGGGATTGCAAGTTCCTTGCAGTATCTGTCTAGCCAGCAAATTTACACCAATTGCCCTAGACAACCATTCATTTCCTACTCCCCTTCTAGGCAAGATGCTACATATGATTGGGATCCCTCCCTTAGACTTAATGAAATCTATAGCTGACCTGTACTTATCTAGCAGCTCTTCACTCCTACCCTTCCCAATATCATTTCCACCAGCACTGAGACAGATAATGGGCTTGTTCCCATTACCTGACATGATATTATCCAGCCTGTTGACAATGTCCCCAACACCAGCTCCAGGGAAGCACACTCTATCTCTCATCTTCTTATTCCTATTACAAAAAGCACGGTCAATATATCTTACCTGAGAGTCACCAACCACAAGAATGTGCTTACCTCCATTAGCAGGGGCAGTAGTACCCTTACCTTCACTGGCCTCTGAAGTACATTCATCCTGAAGAACAGAGAAGCGATTTCCTACCTTCAGATCTTCACTCTTAACTTTCCTTACTCTGATGCGCCTTCCATTACTGGTTACCACTCGCCACTTGTAGCAGGTGCTGGGCTGCACCTCACTGCTGGTAGCCGTTGCTACCTCCCCAACTACAGCCTCCTCACAGCGAGAGACAGACTGCACCTCACTGCTAGAAGCCTCATTCCCCACAACTCCAGCCACCTCACACTCTCTCCCAGACCCATTGAGGTGAACCTTCAGCCTCCTAATCTCCTCCTGGAGAAGCAAGACCTCCTCCTTCAGCTCTCCAACCTCAATTTTTAAAACACTGCAGAAGCAAGCCATGCTTTGTAACCGTCCACACTAATCCCCAAAGCAGCTCAGGGTCTGTGACCTCACGTGACGACTGACCACTGACCACTGACGACTGACCACTGACCACTGACTGACCACTGACCACTGTTTGCTTACGTGTCTTTCTAAACCAACTTGTCGGTATTTATTACCAAGGTTTATACCAAAAATAGGTTAGATAAATACATGAGTGGGTGTGGGTGGGAGTGAGTTGGACCTGACTAGCTTGTGCTGCTGGGTCTGGTGCAGTGCTCCATCCTTGAGTGGGGATGACCAGACTGGGTTGGTCATTGGTCTAATCCGGGGGGGGGGACACATGGACCTGCTCCGCATGGGTCAGTAGGCCTGTTGCAGTGTTCCTTCTTTCTTATGTTCTTATTACTGCCCACAATGACAACACAATCAACAGTAAAGACAAAAGTAACATCAATTCTAATAACATCCCCAGACTTCAGGTCACATTAGTCAATCGTGGGGTTTGTAGTTTGTACCTAGAGGTAAGGAGCTCTTGTCTGAGAGGGGCTAGGTAAGGGGCTCCTCTCTGAGAGGGCTAGGTAAGGGGTTCATCTCTGAGAGGGCTAGGCAAGGGGCTCCTCTCTGAGAGGGGCTAGGTAAGGGGCTCATCTCTGAGAGGGGCTAGGCAAGGGGCTCCTCTCTGAGATGGGCTAGACAAGGGGCTCATCTCTGAGAGGGCTATGCAAGGGGCTCATCTCTGAGAGGGGCTAGGTAAGGGGCTCATCTCTGAGAGGGCTAGGCAAGGGGCTCCTCTCTGAGAGGGGCTAGGTAAGGGGCTCCTCTCTGAGAGGGGTTAGGTAAGGGGCTCATCTCTGAGAGGGGTTAGGTAAGGGGCTCATCTCTGAGAGGGGCTAGGTAAGGGGCTCATCTCTGAGAGTGGCTAGGTAAGGGGCTCCTCTCTGAGAGTGGCTAGGTAAGGGGCTCCTCTCTGAGAGGGGCTAGGTAAGGGGCTCCTCTCTGAGAAGGGCTGACTCTCGCAGCAGAGTTCTTGGCTATGAACCCAGGATCTCCCCCTTCAGCAGAAATTTCGTGTAAATATACTTACCTTCTTGGGTGACGACATAACTCGTTCCACGAGGTGCCACTTTCTTTAACAGTCTCTGGTGCGGTACTCTATCTTACTAAAGCCTAAATAAACAATATCGAATCTTTATCGTGATCAACAACCTCAAAAGCTTTACTGAAGAAGGTTAATACATTAGTTAGACAGGAACGGTCCCTCGTGAATCCATGCTGAGTATCATTAGTCAAATTATGCTTATGCAGATGGCTTCTTTTAATATCAGCTATAATTGACTCTAGTAATTTTCCTTCAGTTGAGGTCAGGCGGTAATTTGACGGTAACGACTTGTCCCCTAATGACAAGAATTCTATCAAGATGTTATCATCGTATCAACTTTAGTAATGTACATAAATGGTATATAGTACCGATAAGATGGAGAATTAAACACATGTGCAACATAAGGGTATCATTATTTGTAGACGTTTGGCGAAACATCCACAAATTAAGATAACCAGATGTTGCACATGTCCTGAATTCTTCAAAATTAGCATTTTCAAGAACACCAACTCACCGAGGTTGTACATGCTGTAGTATATCATCGGAAGTGGTAGTTGTGACGTCATGGAGGTAGTGGTGTTTCAAGTCTAGGTGAGTGCAGCGATGGTTGTAGCGAGCTAGGACATCCAATAGCTCAATCAGTCCAGTGCCGTCACTCGTGAAAAAAATGCCCACCTCGGATGGTCTGAGGTGTGGTAGAAGAGCCATGCAGCTCTCAACATAATTCTCATTTACGGTAAAAGGTCTTCCGGAATTAATGAAGCCGGCTATTACCCTGGCTATGTCATTATTGTATTTAGTGTTCTCGAGAAGGTTGTACCAGTGGGTAATGTTAATCCTTCTAGACAATCCCTCCAGCCTGTTCCTTTCTTTAGCCTCATGTGCGAGTTGTACAGCCTCCTGTGTGATGGTCTCAGGTACCTCATCAAGTAACAGGTGAAGTAGCCCGGCCACGTGAACCAAAACATTCTGATACTTGGTCATGTCTTCGATGGCTGCTCCGACGCTCCGTTCTAAGATTTCTCTGATGCTGACAGGTGATACTGGTATAAGTGGTGCCATGGCAGGCTGAACTGTAGAAGGTAATACTCGTGTAAGTTGTGCGGGAGTGGGCGAAGATGATACTGGGAGTGCTGAAGCCTGTAGCTGGTCCTTAAGTGACATAACAATATGCAGAGCACTCCAGTAGTCTTGAATTCCTTTATGGGGTGCAGAGTATCGTTCCTCGACGCCTCGCCATGTCCAAATTGGCTTCAAGCTCAAGAACGCAGACAACACCTCATCGTAAGGTAAATCATGATTGCTACAAAGAGAAATCAGTTGTTCTATTGTTGCTTCTTGGAAGGCGAGCTGTTCACGTGAAAGGTTCTTAAGCGATATTATATATATCCTTCTCATAACTTCATGAACCTTGTGATCTAGGCTACTTTCATTTATATCTTTGATCTTGGGATATTTTAGTAGCCTCTCTAATAACTTCTTCTGACACAGACGATGTATTTCATGGTAGAGCTCTGTTTGTGTGAGTGCCACTGTGCTTAACTTATCACATGCCTGGTCCCAAATATAAACAAAAAATATTAAATTCATTGGCAGTCGTAAGTGTTCATGATGATCTTTAAACATTTTTACCTTATTTATCAGTTCCTCAGTGTTTCTGTTGCTCTTCGTGTGCTTAGTTACTTCCTGGTGAGTTCGACGCACAAATTCTTTTATATGTTCCTTAGATATGCCTCGTAATTCAGCATTTACCACCACAAATTCTTCAGGGATCGTGATACTGAAAATTTCGACTGTTTCAGGTCTTGAGGTACAAATAAAAGTTGTAGATGTAGAAGTCTTGAATTCGTATAAAAGGCTTTTGATTAATGCTCTAGAATGATTGTTGAGTTCATCCAGACCGTCAACAATTATTAGGACTTTACAAAGTTTTACTATTTTAGGCAGGAAGTTTCCGAATTTTGTTGATACGTCTGGCATTAGGCGGTCTAGGAGTTCCTGGTAGGAATTTATTGTAGGGTTCCTGCACTGTACCCAGAGCAGAAGATCAAAATTATCCAAGTCTGTGATATTCCCACCACTACCCTGAATCCATTCCTGGATTATCATAGTCACTAAAGTGGTCTTACCGCTCCCTGCCAAACCTTCAAGTAGGAGCATTTGAGGTCGTGCTGAGGAATCCTGTCGTTGTGTTGCAGAACTCACAGATGACGACACAGATGTATTCTGGACTGATATGAGAATGTCGCAAAAGTCTATATGTTTACCTTCACCTCTGCGTCTCCCTTTTCTGATTTCAATATCCACAAAAATTTTGTCGACTTTCAGTTGACAGTCATTAGTGATAAAAGACACTGGATTGATGTAAATGATTTTTTGAAAGGCCTTCTTCAGTGTATCACAACTATCCTTAATGATAATTTGTTTTAAATCATCACCACAATACTTTATTATTGCTTCCTCTCCTAGAATCTCATTCATTATGTGGTCCAGATCTTCATTCATTTGCTTGATCTCCTTGTTCACTTCAGCCTCGTCCCTACCATACCGCTTTCCAGATGACTCAAGACATCCAGTTAACAGCTCCCGAAGCCTTTTAATATTTTCAAAATAATTATCATCAGGAACTGCAAGTTGACCATGAGCAGCATCTTTCCCTCATAAGATTTTATAGCGGTGATTTTAGTACTCCATCTCTGTACTCTGAGCGAACCATATTGGATCACCGACAGGAGCCACCTTCTCGCAGGCTAGTTTGATGCTCAGGCAGAGCAATGACACATCAAACTCTTTTCCATCTGAACTCAAGTTGATCATTTTCTTTTGTGTTTTGTTGAACTTTCTTTGACTGCTAGTAAGTTTTGGGTAGTTTGCAGATGATTTATCATCCAAGTTATCTAAGTAATTCTTCAGATTTGTGTTAAAAGATTTATCTGGGGTTCCCCAACAAAATATTTTATGCAGTACTCGTTTACCACAGTGATTCATAGCCTTTATAAATCTGAAACCATTATTTTCCTCTTTAGTTATTACAGCCATTGCGCGTTAGGAGGAAGACCTGATTATGTAATGTTGCTGCTTCAACTCCTGATGATTCTGAAAATATTGTATCTGATGGAGTTGCTGATTCTTCTCCTGAAGAAAGTGCTGATGCTTCTACAGATCAAGTCGAGATGATGGTGTTCCTGTTGCATCTGCAGTTAATGCTGCTGACAGTATCCTTTAAAGTTTCGCATATAGTGCTATTGATGGAGCTCCTGGTTCTTCTGCAATATTACTGACAGTGATCATGATGCCTTTCTCTAATGGAGTTCCTGATGTTTCTGCAGAAAATGATGATGATAAGAGATACTGTGTTCCTGAAGATAGCGTAAAAGATGAGGGAACTCCTGATCTTTCTGCAGATAATGTTGCTGATGCTGTCGCAAATAACACACAGCTTCTAGTGTGTCTTCAAATAATGTTACTCACCTAGAGCTCTCCCGATACTTCTGCAGAAGACCACGACGGCTGAAAATACAAGACATCGTAATAATATACATAATACTGCAGTTGACACCTTGAAATGTGTTTATTACAAGTGGTTAACAGACACATGTATAATATTACAAGTGGTTAACAGACACATGTATAATATTACAAGTGGTTAACAGACACATGTATAATTTACAAGTGGCTAACAACACATGTATAATATTACAAGTGGTTAACAGACCATGTATAAAATTACAAGTGGCTAACAGACACATGTTAATATTACAAGTGGGTTTAACAGACACATTGGGATAATATACAAGTGGCTAACAGACACATGTATAATATTACAAGTGGTTAACAACACATGTATATATTACAAGTGGCTAACTGACACATGTATAATATTACAAGTGCTAACTGACACATGTATAATATTAAAAAGTGGCTAACTGACACATGTATAATATTACAAGTGGCTAACTGACACATGTATAATATTACAAGTGGTTAACAGACACATGTATAATATTACAAGTGGCTAACTGACATGTATAATATTACAAGTGGCTAACTGACACATGTATAATATTACAAGTGGTTAACAGACACATGTATAATATTACAAGTGGTTAACAGACACATGTATAATTTTTACAAATGGTTAACAGACACATGTATAATATTACAAGTGGTAACAGACACATGTTATAATTTACAAGTGGTTAACAGACACATGTATAATATTACAAGTGGTTAACAGACACATGTATAATATTACAAGTGGTTAACAGACACATGTATAATATTACAAGTGGTTAACAGACACATGTATAATATTACAAGTGGTTAACAGACACATGTATAATATTACAAGTGGCTAACTGACACGTGTATAATATTACAAGTGGTTAACTGACACATGTATAATATTACAAGTGGTTAACAGACACATGTATAATATTACAAGTGGTTAACAGCACATGTATAAAATTACAAGTGGTTTAACAGACACATGTATAATATTACAAGTGGTTAACAGACACATGTATAATATTACAAGTGGCTAACTGACACGTGTATAATATTACAAGTGGTTAACTGACACATGTATAATATTACAAGTGGTTAACAGACACATGTAAAAATATTCAGTGGTTAACAGACAATGTATAAATTCAAGTGGCTAACTGACACGTGTATAATATTTTCAAGTGGTTAACTGACACATGTATAATATTACAAGTGGCTAACTGACACGTGTATATAATTTACAAGTGGTTAACTGACACATGTATAATATTACAAGTGGTTAACAGACACATGTATAATATTACAAGTGGTTAACAGACACATGTATAATATTACAAGTGGCTAACTGACACGTGTATAATATTACAAGTGGTTAACTGACACATGTATAATATTACAAGTGGTTAACAGAGACACATTTAATATTACAAGTGGCTGAGATGTGGTAAATAAGGTAATTTTACAAGTGAAAGGCAGAAACATGATAATATTACAAATACGTATCTATAATATGAATATTATTACAGATAAGAGACTGAACAATGTATAATGTTACACGTGCTGACGGAAATATAATTATATTACAGGTGACAGAGTGAAATATATGTAATCCATATTATACGTGTATTTCTAAATTTCCTGTTTGTTCTTCGCGAACATTCAGGACTTTAAACCTGGGTATAATCTATACCCGCTGGGGGTATGGGAACCAAATAATGAGGGTATATGAACCAAATAATGATGGTATCAGAACTAAATAATGAGGGTATAGGAACTAAATAATGAGGGTAGGAGGAGGTGCGGGATTACCAAAACTGTCGTCCAGAGGGCTGAGGAAGGGTTGTTGAGGTGGTTCGGACATTTAGAGAGAATGGAGCGAAACAGAATGACTTCAAGAGTGTATCAGTCTGTAGTGGAAGGAAGGCGGGGTAGGGGTCGGCCTAGGAAGGGTTGGAGGGAGGGGGTAAAGGAGGTTTTGTGTGCGAGGGGCTTGGACTTCCAGCAGGCATGCGTGAGCGTGTTTGATAGGAGTGAATGGAGACAAATGGTTTTTAATACTTGACGTGCTGTTGGAGTGTGAGCAAAGTAACATTTATGAAGGGATTCAGGGAAACCGGCAGGCCGGACTTGAGTCCTGGAGATGGGAAGTACAGTGCCTGCACTCTGAAGGAGGGGTGTTAATGTTGCAGTTTAAAAACTGTAGTGTAAAGCACCCTTCTGGCAAGACAGTGATGGAGTGAATGATGGTGAAAGTTTTTCTTTTTCGGGCCACCCTGCCTTGGTGGGAATCGGCGGGTGTGATAATAAAAAATAATAAATAGGAACCAAATAATGAGGGAATAAGAACTAAATAATGAGGGTATAAGAACTAAATAATGAGGGTATAGGAACTAAATAATGAGGGTATAGGAACCAAATAATGATGGTATAAGAACTAAATAATGAGGGTATAGGAACTAAATAATGAGGGTATAGGAACCAAATAATGATGGTATAAGAACTAAATAATGAGGGTATAAGAACTAAATAATGAGGTATAAGAACTAAATAATGAGGGTATAGGAACTAATAATGAGGGTATAGGAACCAAATATGAGGATAAAGAACCAAATAATGAGGGTGTAAGGAACTAAATAATGTGGTATGGAACCAAATAATGAGGGAATAGGAACCAAATAAGTGAGGGTATAAGAAACAAATAAGAGGTATGGAGAACCAAATAATGAGGGTATAGAAACCAAATATTGAGAGTATGGGAATCAAATAATGAGGGTATAGAAACCAAATACTGAGGGTATAGAAACCAAATAATGAAGGTATGGGAAACTCAAATAATGAGGGTATAGAGAAACAAATATGAGGGTATAGAACAAATAATGAAGGGTATGGGAACAAATAATGAGGTAGGAACTAAATATGAGGTATGGAACAAATATGAGGTATGGAACTAAATAATGAGGGTATGGAACTAAATAATGAGGGTAGGGGAACTAAATAATGAGGGTATGGGAACTAAATAATGAGGGTATGGAAACAAATAATGAGGGTAATGGGAACTAAATAATGAGGGTATGGGAACTAATAATGAGGGTATGGAACTAAATAATGAGGGTATGGGAACTAAATAATGAGGGTATGGGAACTAAATAATGAGGGTATGGGAACTAAATAATGAGGGTATGGGAACTAAATAATGAGGGTATGGGAACTAAATAATGAGGGTATGGAACTAAATAATGAGGGTATGGAACTAAATAAGAGGGTATGGGAACTAAATAATGAGGGTATGGGAACTAAATAATGAGGGTATGGAACTAAATAATGAGGGTATGGAACTAAATAATGAGGGTATGGAACTAAATAATGAGGGTAGGGGAAACCCTAAATAATGAGGTATGGGAACTAAATAATGAGGGTAGGAACTAAATAATGAGGGTATGGGAACTAAATAATGAGGGTATTGGGAACTAAATAATGAGGGTATGGGAACTAAAATAATGAGGGAATGGGAACTAAATAATGAGGGTATGGGAACTAAATAATGAGGGTATGGGAACTAAATAATGAGGGTATGGGAACTAAATAATGAGGGTATGGGAACTAAATAATGAGGGTATGGGAACTAAATAATGAGGGTATATGGAACTAAATAATGAGGGTATGGGAACTTAAATAATGAGGGTATGGGAACTAAATAATGAGGGTATGGGAACTAAATATGAGGGTATGGGAACTAAATAATGAGGGTAGGGAACTAAATAATGAGGGTATGGGAACTAAATAATGAGGGTATGGGAACTAAATAATGAGGGTATGGGAACTAAATAATGAGGGTATGGGAACTAAATAATGAGGGTATGGAACTAAATAATGAGGGTATGGAACTAAATAATGAGGTATGGGAACTAAATAATGAGGGTATGGAACTAATAATGAGGGTATGGAACTAAATTAAGAGGGTATGGGAACTAATAATGAGGGTATGGAACTAAATAATGAGGGTATGGGAACTAAATAATGAGGGTATGGAACTAAATAATGAGGGTATGGGAACTAAATATGAGGTATGGAACTAAATAATGAGGGATGGGAACTAAATAATGAGGGTATGGAACTAAATAATGAGGGTATGGAACT